ATTTTTTTAAGGGAATGAAAAAAATTTTATTTTTTTTTTCAAATAAAGAAGTGGGTAATTTTTTTTTCAGCGTAAAAAAGAAAATTTTTTTCTTTATAAATAAAATTTATTTTTTTAAACGAAATGCCATCTCAAATATATATACAATTCTATACATTTCTGAGTGCAGAAAAAACTTCAAGTGGTTTTCTTGTTTAGTACATTTATATTTTCTCACAATCGTACGGAATGACCGTAAAAATGTAAAATACCCGAATGTTCGGATATTTTTTCCGAGATCCTTTTAATTCGGCCTATCGTAAAAAAAAGTGATACAAATACTATATTAAAAATGAAACGCTAATTCGGTCTATCGTATTTTTTTTTTAAATTAAAAAGATTTAATAATTCCTTATCGTTATGATTAATGATTACGTTTACGCGTTAATCGCAGTTTTCCTGCAAAGTAGTTTTTTTAGGAATTATAGTTTTCGGCAGAATTTTTTACCTTTTTTTTTCCTTTGCTTTTTAAGTATATCTTAAACCCACCTGTAATTGTTTGTATTTACCGTTTTTTTTGAATCGCATTTGCAACTTTTATAATAAAGTACGAAGTGTTTACGCTATAACTGTTCCAAATGGGTTTACATCATAAAAACTTCTTAAATATACTTTACTATTTATTTATTTGACATAAATTATGATTAACTTACAAAAAAAACTTCACACAGATCATGTTAATGTACTAATATTTGAATCTTTTTATACATTGATTGAATATTAACTCAGTTTTCAAATTAAAGAACCGCGTAATAATCATATTTAAATTTAACTATCCGTATTGACATTCTTATTATATAAATAGGATATAGGTTAAAGGATATTTGTCCATAGAAAACATCAATTCTTCAATTACTAGTGACTTAAAAAAGGGGAAAATAAAAAAATCCGTTTTATAATAATAATAACACACCATGTTTTAATCTTGTATTATATAATATTCATGTCGAATGTACTCGAGGATACTATCATAATTAACTTTTTATATATCTTCATTTGATATCCGATATCTTCTTAGATCCAGGAAACCATAACCAGCAATCACCATATCGAAAAGCCCTTTCTTCTTCATGAACTAAATTGATTTCTACTCTTACTGTTTGATACTTAGTTTTTTTTAGTTAGTAAGCGTCTAATATCAGTAATATGTCCACACTTTTTAACGCTTCAATGATTTCACTTACTTTCCATCGCGCCAGTATCGCAAAAATTATGTCACGTGCTTCTTTATTATATTTCTTGAAATCGATTGGTTGATTTACTTTTTACCTTTTTCGATTTCAATGCATCTTAAACTTCTCGTTCTCCTTTTTTACTATTTTAAGTTCATGTTGACGGATACAACTTCTTTTGTTAATTTCTTAAATTTTCATTTTTCTGTGATATTATTTTTCTTTCTTTTTAGCTCCGTTTTCCTTTTTTGACAGATTGAACACTTGTTCTTTGTTCTTTTGCTGAGCCTCACGAAACCAATTGCGAAGGCCCGAATTTTGTTTCACTATCATTCCTACATCTTTCTATATATACTATACGCTATTTCAGCACTATACTTTATTAAATTATGTTATCAAAGCATTTACTAAACTCAAAGCTCTATCTATTTTTATTTTCAAAACTACGTTCTAATAGAGTTCCTATATTTTTAAAGTTTGTAATAAAAGAACTTGTTTCGTTATAAAATATATCGTCAAGCTCTTTTCGTGAAGTACGTCTCTCCATTTTTAACTCTTATTTAACAGTTTTAACGACTTTTCTTTTAACTAAAATTTTTGATCGGAAATTCATTTGTTACCCTTAGAAAGATGCCTAAAGGATCATCCATTATTGTCACGTATAAAGAACCATCTAGATGTTACGCATTAAGTTTTCCAAAAGCTAATTGTTGTTACATTTAAAATCGTCCAGACTCTCGAAGAATAATCTAGTAATTTCATGTACTTAAAATATGTATTTCCGTTATTTACTTTATAACAGTAAATAAATATAATTAAGGTTGCTTGCCGAAACCTAGGGGTTTAGGCAAGATGGCGTTTCGCCGAAAAGCGAAATTCTGCCTAAACTATATTAAAGTTATATTAAAAAACTGGCGAAACTTTGGAGAAAGGCGAAACTGCCGAAACTTATTATAAATGCCGAAACTGCCGAAACTCTGCCGAAACTATAATAAATCTATAGTAAAATTTTGACGAAACTAATCGTAAGATTTTGAAGAGGTTTAGACAAGCAACCTTAAATATAATAACTAGAATATCAACAAAAAGCTCAGTGCAGGAAAATCATAAAAACATGAGTTATACTTACATTTACAATAGTTATATTGATTTAAGTATACTCCTCACCAGATATCTATGTAAGGGATCATCAAAATCCGTAGGACGAGGTGACATAGATCATGGCAAATGAAATGTGGATCTGCCCTCAAATACATTTACTAACGTGATTTTTGGCCAAATTTTATCATTATGATTTCCAAAATTTTATCAACAACCTTGCAATTTTCTTAAATAATTCATGGTCATACAATATTTCCCATAATCCTTATTGGACTCTAGTGTCATTTTGACAACCCTAACGTCATTTTGACACTTTTTTAGGTCGGTCAATATTTATAGAAAAATAAGTGCAGTTTGTTGAGGAATAAAATATTAATTAAGTGTCATTTAAATCATGAGTCATGTTGTTCTGAGTTATCAAAAACTGAGAAAAAACTGGGAAAACAATCATGTTCACATGTTTATCACGTGTATAATGTTGATTTATTATACATCGGCCTTTTAACTATACGAATTTCGTAATTAAATTGATTAAATAGAAAATTACTGTAGGCTGAAAATGATTTTTACGACAATAGTCAAAAAATCAGTTAACAAAAATGGATTATATATTTAATTACTACAACTACAATGCAGTTATGACTACGAGTATATGATATCACGTACTTCCACGTAGTCATAGATATCACGTAGTCATAGACTCATGTAAACACAATACTAGCGACTACATTATACAGTACAAACAGTAAATTTTAATTTATTTTTACCTACAAAAGTGTCACGAAAAATCACGTGACTGTTTTTGTCACATGTGCCACACCTTCGTTGTTTCCATTTTTCATAAGTATCTGAGGGACTTGGAATTTTTTCGAGGTGTGAAATCCTATTTATCACACATTATTTGTCACATAGTTTAATTTCTTAATCTCTTAATGCCGGCGGTTTCGTAACATTTTGTAGTAGTCTATGATTACGTAACTACGTAAGTACGTGATAGGTAAAGTAGTCGATTATATTTTTGTGCTCATGTACTCATGTAGTCATGAAAAAAAATATGATTACATAGTTAGGTAGTACGTAATGGTAAAGTAGTTACATGTACTCGTAATCAGAAGCACGTTGTAGTTGTAGTAAAAAGCTAATAACTGACAAAAATGGAATAGAGAGAATGATGTAATATGTAATCATATTATTAGTCACTATGTATCGAAAAGAGTTTTTACAAGTATATATACTCTTAAACTTTCTCCAAACCCCTTTCAATTTCAAACTAAACTTTTTTCTTCAATAAACTTTTTTATTTAATAAATACACACGTTTTATTACTTTACGGAAAATATTCATTAAAAATATTCTTAAATTTCTTTCTTAAAGAATACACTGAACATAGCTTTTATTACTCTATATATATAAAATTTTTAAGTTTTATTTCTAGGCGAGACTTCCTGGCAGTCTGAAATTTTGGAAGGTTGACGTTACAAAGGTTTAAATTAAAATATATGATATAATCTTCTATTTATTAAGGTAAGCTTGTGCTCCCTGCTTGCCATAGTTTTAATGATACTGGTTTACAGACAAAAAAAGTTGAAGGAGTAAGATATAGGAGAAACTGGCTTTCCTGAAGGAGGGTTAGCTTATGTAACTGACTCCTATGGTTGGTGTCATGTTTACTAAAGGACCATATGGGCTGATTTATGGAATTAAGTTTTTATATTCAAAAAACTAACTTTATTAAGCAAATGCAAATACAAGTTACATGAAAATGATAGAAAATTAAAAAATTTAAATATAATTGTCATGACAAAATATTAAATAACTTAACGTGTATGTGTGCTAGATGAATGAATTTATATTCATTAGAAAGAGGTAATCAAGAGCTATCCATAAACCAAATATCACATGAATTGAATCACAAGTTGCTGAATAATTACGTTTAATATATTTATTTTTAACTTTTGAATTTGATCGTTAATATCTTCACATCTAGTAATTCATTTTAAATGATCTTTTTTTCGTTCAGGTAGAGTTTGTTCTGGGCTTTCATATGAATATAAATATATGTGTTTAGCATGCATGTACGCCGAGATATTAACGATTTTGTTAATTGAATAAAACTCTGACACAAAAATTTTTAAAATTATAATTCTTACCAAAAGATGATCTTTACAGGTATTATTGAGCTCTTTTTACTTTACTTAACAAGGTTTTATTTGCTATTTTTGTTTTAAATTGAATAAAATCAATTTTAAAAAGTAGAATAAAATCAGTATAGTAAAAAACAAAAAAAACATCTCAAAAACTCTAAATCATAAACTCACATTTTTATTTTGTATATATTTTTACTAAAAAAAAGAAGGAACTAAGGTTAAAAATAAATGAAAAAAGATTTTTCTTATTAATATAAATTATTAATATTTGTTTTCTTACTTACTGATTAAAAAAAACCTGCTATATATTCCTATAAACTTTTCTAAGTCTCCTAACAAAAATCTGATTGAAAAGTGATTGAAAAGTGATTGAAAAAGAAAGTAGTTGCCATTGTTATTTTTGAATAAACGTTAAAAATTTTTTTTTATGATAGATTTAGATCATCTGATTATGTAACACATATAATTTAAGCTTGTGAAACATAATTCTTGTTAAAATGTGCAAATCTTTATGAAAATCTTAATTTTGGCTAATTTCACGAATTGGCAGATATGCTACACAGTGAGGTTTTAAAAATAAAAAAAAAATAACAAAATAAAAAAAGGAAAAAAAAACAACAAAATAAAAAGAAAAAAAATGTTAAAAATATGGTTGGACCATACTCTATAAAAAAAAGTTTACAGAGAAGTGTTAGTATCATAAAACCCAAATGGTCCACCAAGAACTTACACAATAAAGATTTATTTTTTTTTATTTTTTTTTCATTTTTATTTTTATTATTATCATTTTTTTTTTATCATTTTTTATTATTTTATTTTTTATTATTTTTTTTTATCACTTTTTTTTATCATTTTTTTACCATTCCTTTTTATTATTTTAAGTCTCTGGCTGAGAATCGGCTTATTCATTGATAGGCAATTAAATTATTATTTACATATGTATAAATTATTAAGATTTGAAGTTATATTTATTAAAGTCCTACATTGTTTAAGTATGCATAAAAAATCTAATACATTTATAGTTAGAAATTTTTATTATGCAATTTCAGCCAATTCGAATTATACTGTACATAATCATCATCCAATTTTCCCAAATCTTTATATAAACAACTGTTATTCATAAAAAATTGATTTGCAATGGAAATGATTTTATTATAATGAACTGCAATGCAGTGAAATGCAGTGAATGTACAACAGTGCAGTGAAATGCGGTGGATGTACAACAGTGCAGTGAAACATAGCATATACAATATTTAAAATAAGGGCCCTTCCTTTTTGGAATGCAACCATTTAGGAATTTAAATTTTTTAAATTGTCAGCAAATAAAACTATTTGTTAATAATGCCAACTTCCACTAATATCAAAGATTCAAGTACTAAAATTAATTGGTTAAAAAAATTATTAAAAATGTTAACTTGCACTAATATCAAAGATTCAAGTGATAACATTAATTGGTTAGAAAAATCAGCTAAGAAGGGTGATGAAGGGTCAATGCATAGTCTTGCTTTACATTACTACAAAGGTAAAGGGACAGAGAAGGACTTGGGAATGGCCTTTTACTGGTTTCAGAAAGCGGCAGGAAAGGGTTATAAAGAGTCAATGCACAATCTTGCCTTACAATACTACAAAGGTGAAGGGACAGAGAAGGACTTGGAAATGGCCTTTCACTGGTATCAGAAAGCGGCAGAGAAGGGCTATGAAGGGTCAATGC